GTATTAGACAGTCCTAAGTTTAAGTTCATGGCTTTACTATGCACTATGTGGCCCTGAGTGTAAATAACTTATTACCTCTAAACAGTGTTACTTGTTTTGTTGGGATGTGGGGGTGGGGGAAATAGAATCAACAGTGTCTGTCTCAGTGGCTGACTAGGGCAATGGATTATGGTATTTGTTTAAGTTTGTATCTTGGGTGTCATGGGAGACCATGCAGGTACCCAAGCAAAGATGTTCTGTTAGAAACACTCATCCCCAGTAAAAAAGAAACTCATGGGAATCAAAGAGCAGGAAGCGTGATAGAGCTGAACCTCCCCAAGTCTAGAGACAAGATCCTCTCACTCTAGGGAACTCAGCAATGGGAGACCGTAAAGCCTCACCCTGGTGAAGGCTGCTGGGTTGACTCTATTGATCTTTGTGTTTTTATCTTTTCTTTTAATTTTCCTACTTGCTGAGGAGAATTAAACTTATGTTTATGGGTTTTGTTTTGTTTTTTACTTATGTTTCCCCAAAGCTGAGGTCAACCAGGCCCTTCTAGCTCAGTGTTTTCAACCTTTTTGATCCTACAGAACACTTGAACCTACAGTTAAAGTTCTGCGGGGCACTTAAATTTTGTTGATCAAGAAAAAAAAGAAGAGCAAAAAAGAGAATATACTTATTGTGCTTTGAACTTCTTTTTTTTTTTTTTTGAGACAGAGCCTCAAGCTGTCCCCCTGGGCAGAGTGCCGTGGCATTACAGCTCACAGCAACCTCCAACTCCTGGGCTCAAGCAAGTCTCCTGCCTCCGCCTCCCAAGTAGCTGGGACCACAGGCGCCCGCCACAACGCCCGGCTATTTTTTGGTTGCAGCCATCATTGTTGTTTGGCGGGTCCGGGCTAGGGATTCGAACCCGCCACCTTAGGTGTACGTGGCTGGCGCCTTAGCCGGTTGAGCTATAGGCACCGAGCCACTTTGAACTTCTTGTGTAAGAAGAAGTTACATCAATCTAATCAAGCTGGATTAATAATTTAATCAATGGTCTTTAAACATTCTTGCGAGACACCCATCATCCTCCCACATGGCACCAGTGTGCCATGGCACACCGGTTGAAAAGCTCTATTCTACCTCATTTCTATCTTTTGACATCTTTTCTGTTGCTAAGTTGTTCTCTTCTGTGTTTCCCAATTCATATTAGTAGTTTTTGAGAGAACACCCAGTGCCTGGACCAGCTAAGTTATTTGTAAGAAGGAATGAGTTCTTGCCTAGATTATGTGTGGCTGTTTCTCCGACCCTGGGCCCACTCTTGGTGCAGGCAACTCTCCATGAGAGGGAAAAGACAGGGAGTTACTAACGTTGACCTTGAACTTGCCCCTTCAGCCAGGCTGGTGAGTGGGGATGTTCCCATGGGGAGGCAGTAGAGGGCGCTGTCTAAGGGCTTGGGGTTCTAGACTTCAAATCCTAACTTGGACATTTTTCTGAAGATGTGACCTTAAAGCAGCAGTTCTCAACCTGTGGGTCAGGACCCCTTCGTAACAATGAAAAAACATTCTGTATATCAGATGTTTACATTACGATTCATAACAGTAGCAAAATTACAGTTACAAAGTAGCAACGAAAATAATTTTATGGGTGGGGGGTCACCACAACATGAGGAACCGTATTAAAGAGTTGTGGCATTAGGAGGCATTAGGAAGGTTGAGAACCACTGTCGTAAAGTGAGTTACTTAATTTTGCTGGATCTCAGTGTCCTGATCTGAAAAGAATGCGTGTGAGAGTTCATGCCTCATGGGATTATCCTGAATCTTAAATAACAAAAGTAAAGCACTTGGCACACTTCCTGCCACAGATTAAATCCTCAGAAAATGCTAGCTGTGACCATGTCAAGAGAAGGTGGGTGGGTAGGCACCAGCGAGGTGCAGGTCTGATACAGCCTGTGAAGGAACTCCACTAACAACACTGGTGTGGCTGCTTCCTGGGTGAAGGCGGTGATCTCCATGACTAATCACCAAGTGCCTCACCAAGGAAGCTGGATGCTACAGGCTTTTTATTATTTTATTATACCATTATTATTTGTGGAGATAATCTCACTCTGTTGCCCAGGCTAGAGTGGGCAGCTTGGCTTACAGCAACATCAAACTCCTGGGCTCAAGCATTCCTCCTACCTCAGCCTCTTGAGTAGCTGGGACTACAGGCACCTGCTACAATGTCTGGCTAATTTTTTGGTTTTTAGTAGAGACTGGGTCTGGCTTTTGCTCAGGCTGGTCTTGAACTCCTGAGCTCAAGAGTTCCTTCTGCCTGGGCTTCCCAGAGTGCTAGAATGAACCATGGAGCCAGGCCACTAGAGGCTTTTAAAATTCAATATTAGCCCTTCTACCTGGGATCTAAGTGTCTGGCTCTCAATATACAATACCCAGGCCCGATTCAACCTGGCAGGAGATTAAAGGTAACCCAGGTGAACAGCGTAACAAGTGCCTAGGTTGAACCCTTCTCCAGGGAGCCACCAACGTTGCCAAACTGGCAAGTGATTTTTTTCTGCTATTTCTCCACCAGGGTCTTGGGAAATCATTGGTTTTCACACAAAGGTAAACACAGCGAGCTAAAATATGGGTGAAATGAGAGATGGCGTGTGCTCAGTTGGCATGTAGGCATTGGTCAGACAGTGATGCTTTATTTATTTGGTTGTGTTAGGAAATGGGCCATTTTGTAGATAGCCGAAGCTTTTCCATGTCAATTCTGAAACTATTTTTAACCTTTAAATTTTTTTTTAATTTTATTCTATTTTTATTTATTTTTATTTTAGAGACAGGATCTTGCTATGTTTCGTGCCCAGGCTGGACTCAAATTAATTCCTGGGCTCAAGCGATCCTGCCCCCAAAGTCTCCAAGTAGCTGGGACTATAGGCACACACTACAATGCTGGGACGACTAACTCCTTTTTAATGGGAGTCTTCCTACAACGTGTCACCCATTTCTTCTTTCTTGCCTGAAGATATGAATTTGAAGGCTACCATCCATTAAATGCTTACCCTGTCCTTAGTGCCAAATTTAAACTCCTTACTCTTATCACAGGTTATCCCTGTGAAGTCAATACTATCAGAACCCCCACTTTACAGATGAGAAAACTGAGATGTGGAGAAATTAAGGAACTTATTCAAAGTTACATAAGAAGAAATGATAGAACTGGGATTTATATCCAGGGCTCCATGAGCTTTTGTACAAATAATGAACACATTGAATCCTATAAAGGCATAAATGTATTTATGATCTATGTACAAATGACTTAATAAAAATAAAAAATAAAAAAAAGAAACTCTTAAGCTCTTAAGGCCACGTTACTGGTGAACATTTTGATAAGGAAAGACCAGAACAGATGCTAACTAAACATCAAAGTAAGATCTCTAGGGGTCTATACGTACAGGGCAGAAACATATCCATTACTCTGAGGATTCCTTGGCTGCTTTTTACAAGTAATCAGTACTCAAACTGGGAGCACATATTTCAGAATATCCATGACTTCCTTTCATTCGGCAAACGTTAGTTAAGTAACTACTATATGTGGGGGGCCTGTTGCATGCCATGCGTTCCAGAAGCAGAGAGACAGGTGGCATCTAGCTGCCTTCAGGGAGAGCACGTTTTGGAGAGACACCAACTGGGATACTTGGTGACACTTGACTGACTCATAGTCATGAAGATTTTGAGATGGTGGTGACTTCTGCACTCACTCTTCAAGGAATTCACCCCCTCTCCTTTAGGTGATGTCTGTGGATAAGATAGATGAGTGAGACCAGGAGATGGAGGTGGAACTAGACACTTCCTTGGCTCTAAAGAAGCCAATGAAGAACTGGACAAGATGTGCTTGAGAAATAGTTCAAGGCATCTTGCTTGGAAAAGAAGCTGTGGTCTGTGGCTAATGGGCCTTGGGCCAGCCTGAGGGGTTTGGTCTCTATAACCCAAGTCTTTCTTTGATGGTGCCTTATAAAAACAAGAAGTGCTTTGGAAACACCTCTACTGGGATGGGAGAAACGCAGGTGCAGTGGGAAGTACTTCCCCATGTGAATGGATGTTAAATGCAATTTCCAAGAGTAGAATTTTTTTTTTTTTTTTGCAGTTTTTGGCCGGGGCTGGGTTTGAACCTGCCACCTCCAGCATATGGGGCCGGCGCCCTACTCCTTTGAGCCCTAGGCGCTGTCTTCCAAGAGTAGTTCTAAAAAAGCAAAAGAGTCTGGAGCACTGGTAGCATCACTGGAAACGCCTTTGATATGTTTTTATGACAACTTTCTTATTTCGAAAGTCGTGTGTTATTAGAAAATACCTGGTAACCTTTCTCAGCCAGAGACAACTTCGATTTCTGAAACAAACACTGCAGTATCCCCCATGTCCATCAGGCCCCCTCTTTGATCTCTCTCCCTGAGTCTCCCTCCTCCAGCAGATCATAATGTGGTCTCTTGCTGTTTCAAGTCTACCATCATGGGAGCCGTTATGCACAGTACTGGCTGAAACGTGTGTGTTGATTGAGGAGAGATGGCTGGTTGTTTGAAGGACTTTTAAACAGTTCTTCTTTCTCATTCTCCCATCTCACACCTTGGCTGGTGGCCAATGTATCTGGCTGTTTTCCATATGTCTGTTTCTATCTACTTCCTAGTGTATATTTCACCCTTGATTAAGTGCTGGCTTGTCTAATGATCGGACTAGTCGATCTGTGTTTTTAGAGTCAGGGTTATAAACAGCTTCTGAGAGAAGCTAAAGGGCACCTCTTGTGAATGAGTGGAAACTCTGGAACTACCATTGTCGTTGCCAGAGAAGCATTACTTATCTGCATGGAGATAATTCAATTTTGCTTTCTTGGTATAACATCTATCTAAGTGGCGTTGCTGTTAGAGACGCTTTGCCAGAGAGGAAAAAAGAGAGAGAGGGAGGGACGGAGGGAAAGAGTGGGAGAAGGGGAGGGAAGAAAAGAGAACCAGGCCGGTGCTTTAATTTGGCCTCATGTTGTGTTTCTCTTTTCACATTTGCTCCTCACAGTGGTTTAAACTTCATCGACTTGATGGTTCGACAGGGAAACATTGACAACCCCCCCAAGACTCCCCTGGTGCCGGGATTTGAGTGTTCCGGGATTGTGGAAGCTCTGGGAGACAGCGTGAAAGGATACGAGGTAATGTGTTGACCGTGACTTAAAGGATAATAATTCATCTGGGGTCCACGAGAGAAGACTGTGCAAAAAAAAAAAAAAAATCCAAAATGCCCTATGACATGTATCATTGAGGTCGTCTTATTATTTCATTTTATCAGTGATGTTTATGATGACAGGACTTCCTAACAGTCCCATGCCTTCCTCGTGTACTGTGTGGGTTGTTCCTGGCAACGGTCTGGCGAAGTGGGCAGGACACATCTTGTCTTCTGCTTTATTCCTGCCATGTTGCTGTTAAACCAGAATATTTGGCTTTAGATTAACCAAGTGGGCGTAGAACCCACCCCCATCCAGGATTCCCATTTTCCCATCACCTGGGGCTCAAAATTCAATTACAAAACACAAATGTTCAGAGGAAATAGCCTCCGTGTTTTATAGTTTTGTTCCTTTAAATACTTTTTTTACTGAACTTATACATTTAAGTCCTCATTTATAAATGCCTAACTTTTTCAGGAAGGGAGGTAGTAGGATTTGGGGATGAAGAAGGTCTTGCAATCAAAGAGGGGAGGCATCTGAGAATGGAACTGAATTAGCCATGAATTGATGACTTTGGAAGTAGGGCCGCGGGTAAAAGGATTTATTCTATACTCCTGATTTTTTTTTGGTACATGTTCTGAATTCCCCATAATAAACATTTTTTAATTTGTAGAAAGATGCATTATAATACAAATCAAACAGAAGCCAGTCTATAGCGCCAGTCTACAAACACTAAACACTTGTGGGCAAGCCAGTTACACAACATTGCCCTACTTTGGAGTCAAAAACACCCTTGCAAATCAGGCAGAAGAATTCTCACTCATAACCGAGTGCTCCCCTTGGGAGGAATGAACATTCTAGAATGCACTATAACCAGAACCGTGGGGAAGTTATCTTTTTCTTTTTTTAGCCTCCCCGCAACCCTGCAAGGTAAAGATTGTTTTTATCTCCTTGCAGGTGAGTGAAGTTCAGAGAAGTCCGTAATTATCTGTGAGTTCGGAGGGTTAGTTAGTACTGGTAGAACCTAGATTCAGATGCCCCAAGCATTTGTATTCTTCCTACAATCTCATAATCTTTATTCTTGCTCCAAGCCCCTACATGCTGTAATAATATATGCAGGAAAGGAGAACCGGAGAAGGGTCCCATAAAACGCAAAGCCACAATGCCCTTGAAATCCACTGGAACCTGCCGCTTAGTCTCAGCACATCTCAGCCTCGCTAGTCTCTGAAAACATCAATATGCTCCAGATCCATTATGATGAATGTCTGTCTGGAAATCTCATCCCCCTTATCAGTCTTTTTGCCAATGGTTTCCAGATAATACAGCAGAAAAATGTTGAGAAAGAAGTAGATGAGCTTTTTCTTTTCTTTCCTATGAATTTACATTTTCTGTCCCCTGATAAGCAATATAACCAGAGGCCCACTATCTCCCCCTGAAAGTGCTGCACGGAGGAGGTACTATCTGCTTTTCACTGTTCCACTAGTCCCCAAAGTGAAGATTATACCGCTCACTCCTGAGTATTGAATATTAGTATTAGCCCCGAGCATTGAATAAATAACCAGTTATTTTAGAATACAACAGGAAACACGGGCATCGTTGGACCTGGTGTTGAGGGAGAATGTCCTATACTGGATCCTGTTTTTCCTTTAAGTATGATTTATCTTCTGCCAGTTAGCCCTGTCTGGTTAAGTGTTAAACTTACCCTTCAAACTACCCCCTCCCCAGTGGCCACACATGCAAATAAAAATCACCTGTGTGTTTCCAGTTAGGGTGTGATAGAGACAGAGTAAGATACCGGCAAAGAAAGGAAGGAAGGGAGGAAGGGAGAGAGGAAAAAAGGAAGTAAGGGAAGAAGAGGGAGGGAGGGAGGAAGAGAGGGAGAGAGAAGGAGGAGGGAGAGAGGGAGGGTTGGAGGGGAGGGAGAGAGGGTTAGAGGGAGGGAGGGAGGGAGGGAGAGACGGAGGGAAGATTAGATGAGTTAAAACATGTGAAGCCTTTAAGAAAATGCCTGCTATATAATGTGTGTCCAGTAAATGGTAAATAAGAAAATGTTAGTTGCTGCTGTCTGTCGCACCTGGTGGCAATCTCTCCTGTTTCACTCTAAGCCTAATCTGTTGCTCAGGCTCCTGCACCTAGGATTAGGTTCCTTCCAAGGGGAGCACTCGGTTATGAGTGATCTTTTCACACCCATTGCAACCCATGAGCCAATGCTAAACTTTGACACAAATACCACCAACCCTCACCTGGCAGGGACTCCTGATGGGCGGGTAGAGAGCAGAGAATGTGTTTTACTCCCAGCCTTGCCCTCAGTGCTATGGATGGATTTCGGCCATTCTTGAACCTTCCCTGGGGCTCGATTTTCCTCAGCTCTAACACAGAGAGGACAGATGTGTGATGGGCATGTGAGATGACCTTCCTACAATGACACCCCACAGTGTGTGATGTGCCACCAGGAGCTATTTCTATTGGACACATGGAAAAGAGGACCTGGCTTCTGTGGCCCCTGGGGCTATTCACACCCGGGCGGGCTTCAAGGGGGTTCACAAGTGCCTGGAGAGTAGGTGAGGGTGTGCCTATTTGAGAACATTTTTGTTTTGTTTTCTGGGAAGGAATCTATAGTTTTCATCAGATTCGTAGGAGCACTGGGAAAGCCCTCCAAGAAAGATCGAGATACTTAAGTGTATGTTTGACTCAGAAACCTGGAATTAAATCTGACTTCCAGTGACCACCCCCATCCCCTGTCCCCATGCAGTTGACATTCTAATTGGGATTAGGAGGAAGCAGGTTACAATGATGTAACCTGTGAATAGACAACGTCAGGTAGGATTTGTGCTTTGAAGAAAATAATGGTGAACGATGTGATAGAGTGATGTAGACGGGCAGGAGGGCTTCTTGCGTTGGGATGGTATTTTTGAAGAGATGACCCAAGCCAAGTTCACATATATTGTATCACTCCACATTCATGATGAGCCCCATGAGAGAGGTGGGACTTAATTGATACCCCCAAAAGACAGGTTGAGAACTTTGCCTGTGGTCACACAACTACGAGGGAAAGAACTGGGACTAGCATCCAGTTTCAGGACACTCTGGCAATTTCTTTCATGGTTTTGAGAGGACTGAGGTGGGCTCCCATGCCTGGGAAGATTTTTGACTCTTCATCTGGAGCCAGGAGGAGATGACAATTAGATAGGGCAGCTCCTAGGTTCTCCTGCTACAAAAACATCAGCAATAAGAAAATTCACCATGACCTTGGCTGAGGCTACTGCTAGGTGGATGAATGAGGGCTGCCTTAGAATACCCCCAAGATCAGTGAGGCTGCAGGTCAGCCCCCTCGCCAGGGAAAGGAAAGCTCATTACTGCTCACACCTGTAAGTTCAAGCTCCACTTCCCCCAGATCTCTCGCCCATGGAGGAGTAGCTCCTAGTCATCCATCAAGCTGCCACTGTGCACCAGGCTCTGGGCCCTGCACTGAGAATCCCTACATCATTAAGTCCCAGCCTCTACCCCCATTTACAGGGGGCCAACCAGGTAAGATGACCCAAAGCGTGATGATGGAGAGTTGTATAAGGAATTGGATGAATCTCATCACTTAACACTGTGTGTGTTGGGCAAGTTATTAAACTGCTCTGAGCTTTGGTTTCCAGTTGTGTAACATGGAGGCAAAACTAGAAGCTAACACATAGGATTAAAATTCATGATCTTCTCTGTATAACTAGCGCCAGCTGCAGGAAGCCCTCAGTAAATACCAATACCAATAACACCAGTAAGAGTGGTCAATTCTGCTTTTGTAGGAAAAGGCTGGTCATCGGGGAAAGTTCTGGGGGAAAGGGGATGTCTGAGCTGAGCTTTGAAGGAAAAATTAAAGATTTTCCAAGAGTAAAAAGAAGAAAAGGAACACCAGCTATACATCGTGGGTACAGAGTCACGAGGGTGTGAGCAGGCATTTCCCTGAGCTTTTCCTGATGACTTTCAGTGAGGCCACAGGGGAGACACAGGAGAGGATTGACACAGGACAGGCTCATGGGCCAAACCTTCCCTTCTCCTTTCTTCACACTGTCTGAACTTGCACCCCCCTGCTTTACTTTGTTATTGTTGGCTAATGTTTTCTTCTTAATTGTCTCTTCTCTGGGATAGATTATTGCCACCAGCAGCATGGAGAGACACCCTTTCCAGTATCCAAGAAGTCTAGGGTCATTTGGGGACTTCAGAGGGGAGAGAGAAGGTGGGAGCCGGAGCCATAAATCACACGCAGAGAAGTCTAGACAAGGACTTTCCCCTCCAGCAGCATCAGGGAAGATACAGGGAAGGGAAGACCTGCCTCTGTTTATAACAAGCCTCCCAAGGATAAGGAGAGGAGATGTCAGCAGATAGTGAAAAAGTCCTCCCTACCCAGCTATCAGGTTGTCAAGTTGATTAATTGCCTGCCTCTTTCTCAGAGCGAGCAGACCAGGCTCTGCATTGCTCCTATCACTGGAAGGAGAGCCCCAGAGGACAGACTAGGGACAAGGAAATTTGATTCTGTGGTGCAGGTGCCTTTTCTGAATTAGGCTAACCCACCCCGCTAACAGGGATGCCCTGGCAGCTTGAACAGAGGTGCCAGGGCACGCTTAGAACCTGTCCCAACTGTTTCATCCACCTGAGATCCCCATTACCCAGATCTGAATGGTATCAGGATCAGTCTGTTGTCTTTCTCCTACATTATCCCCCAGCTGAGTGGACAATCTGATGGGCCTTATAGACACTGCCAGCCATTCATGATGGAGGCTATAGTGGCTTTTTTCCAATATACACAGACCTGGCTAACCTGGTGAGCCCCCAAGATTCTACGAAGCTCACTGATAGGTTACTATAGCATCCTTTGACCTTGTCCACCCTTCCTTTTTTGTCCACATACAAAAAAAAAACGAACTATTATTTATAGAGGATTAAACATCATACTTACTACAACAATTATTTTTGAGCCAACATCTAAAACATCACCATCAAAGTTCCATGCCTTTGGCTTAAGGCTGCATTCTCTTTACTAAAATATGATAAATTTTAAATGGATTTGTGTTGAAGCAAATTGTGTTGAGGCATAGTACATGACACCTGGAAATTTCAGAATGCTTATGAACAATTTGAAAACATGAACTGTGTCTCGTTTACAATTACATCTCAAGTTCCCAGATCCTATGACCAAGAATGGGCATAATATCCAGACATATTGGGCAGTTACTGTGATGTCACGGGGAGATACTTGGAATCAGACAGGCCTTACCTTCCTTACCTAAACCTTCCTTAGCCTCAGTTTCATCATGTGTATAATGGAGATGATATGCTATAAAGCTGGCATGGAAATGACAATTACAGAATGCATTGTTACTGTTCAGGAAGTGGTAGCCTTTCTGATGTGACCCACTGTACATATACCTCTGCTGAAGAGGAATCCATTCTCCAGCCTGGCTATAAGTCCCTCAGTCTTGGGTATGGAGACCAAAAGTCCTGAAAAGCCCTAAATGAAGAGCACAACCTGGCCAGGGGGCAGTGGCAGGTGACTGGAGGAAGGATTGCATCATTTTTCTATCCTCACTGGATATTCTGATACCACCCAGATCTCTTGTTATGACCTAAATGATGTCCAGAATTTTAAGGAGGGGATGGTTATTCAACCAACCAACTTCCATGGTTCTGGGGAGAAGGGGATCATGATGAAGATAAGTGGGCAGAAAAACATTCTGCTGTCAACAATTCATTACATTAGATGTAAGTTTATTATTTATTTATTTTTTTACTGCAAATGCACAGTAGAACCTCCATAGTTGACCACCTCCTGATCACCTTGTTGACTTAATTTTCATAGACTGGCCACAAACCATATGTACTCAATGTACAACAGGCCTAGCTCCTCATGTTGACCATCTCCAGATGTGGACTAGTGTGTTACAGTCCCTCGGGTGATCAATTTACAGAGGTTCTACTATATTTTAAAAAGTCATTTGTTTTAGCAAAGTATGAAAGAAATGATTATGAAACTCAAATATTTGGACAGAGGTCATAAGTGGCTGAGTTGGGAGAAACAATGGTGCTTGTACCATGGACAGCTCCCAATGTTCGTCCCTTCTTGAACTTCTATTGTGAGCTAGCCTCCACTAACCTTCTGTTTTCCCCATACCCAGATTGGGGACCGTGTTATGGCATTTGTCAATTACAATGCCTGGGCAGAGGTGGTCTGCACACCGGTGGAGTTTGTCTACAAGATCCCAGATGACATGAGCTTCTCTGAGGCTGCTGCATTCCCCATGAACTTCGTCACAGCCTACATGATGCTCTTTGAAGTTGCCAACCTCCGGGAAGGAATGTCTGTGCTTGTACACTCAGCTGGTGGTGGCGTGGTAAGTTGGCTCCTGATGACCGCTCTTCCTTAAGTTCATGGTGGAAGTGGAATGACACTCAGTTGACAATGATATTCTTACATAAGCTGTGTCCATCAACAGGAGTAATCTACGTGCTTCTGTTGGAGCTCACAGGGATGGCAGAGTCCATACTGAGGATTGCAGTGGGGATAGGTGATCCCAACAGATGGTTCTCTGGAGTGAGGAAGTTTTCCATGATGGTGTGTGAGACACAGTGGCGCTCAGAGATGGTTTTCTGTCAAGAAGCCTTCCTAGTCTTGGTATCATAATAATGATGATGAAATGATGAAATGTTATGTCAATCATTGTGAGATTCCTCAAAAGCCACGATCTACTAATGTTATTTAAATTGCCAAAATTGGCTGGGCATGGTGGCTCCCTGTAATTTTTGCACTCTGGGAGGCTGAGGTGGGAAGGTCCCTTGAGCTCAGGAGTTGGAGACCAGCCTGAGCAAGAGCAAGACCCCATCTGTTCTAAAAAGAGAAAAATTAGCTGGGTTTTTTGGCAGCTGCCTGTCTGTAACCCCACGAACTCTGGAGGCTAAGGGAGGAGGGTCACTTGAACCCAGGAGTCTGAGGTTGCTGTGAGTTAGGCTGACACCAGAGCACTCTAGTCTGGGCAACAGAATGAGACTCTGTCTCAATCAGTAAGATAAAATAAAATGCCAAAATGTTGGATGACTTAGTTTTTCAATAAATTTCAGTGACTATAAGAGAGTTCCTATATTAATGACCATCTTTTTGTATGTGTTCTGATGTGTTTTGTTGAGTTGGAGAAAAGTGGAGAGAGATTGCACTTGTACGCTAAGAATCGCATTTAGACTGGGCCCAGTGGCTCAAGCCTATAATCCTAGTGCTCTGGGAGGCCAAGGTGGGTGGATCCCTTGAGCTCAGAGTTCAAGACCAGCCTGAGCAAGACCCCATCTCTACTGAAAATAGAAAAACTAGCTGGATATTGTGTCAGGCACCTATAGTCCTAGCTACTGGGGAGGATGAGGCAGGAGGATCACTTGAGCCCAGGAGTTTGAGGTTGCTATGAGCTAGGTCAAAAGGGTGAGATTCTGTTTGAAAAAAGAAAAAGAGAATCACACATACACCTGCATACCTATGGGAACTGTCGTACATGTTAATTATATCCATCAGGTGTGTCTTTGCCAAGGGGAAAATAATGGAAGTCAAAATTGCTGCTCTGGAGTTCAGGGAGGACAGAAATGTCTTCCATGGCTTGGGTGTGTCCCAGTACCAGTCATTTAGTGCCTATTTCGTGCCTACCACTGGGCAAGCACTGTGTGCCTGTCTCACTGATGTTTAAGTGGAACTCTACTCATCCGGAGAGTGGGAGGTACTACTTACTAATTCCACACGTATGTATTAAGCACATTCCATGTTCTAGGCTCTATGGATGTAGAGATCAGTAATAGAAGGTCCTGAAACACCACTTACTAAGGTGTGAGAGGTTCTTGGAGTGGGTGATTCTGTGGTTTGATAAACTCGGTAATAAAGTCTTAGACTTGGGCACATCTCAAAGACATTTTCAGCAGAGGTTTTGCTGACAATGGTTTGTTGTTGTTTTTTAACCTTGGTTTTCTACAACTATCAAAATCCTGTGCAATGTAAAGCACATTTCTTTTTTCTTTTCTAAGAAAACAAGCTTGCATCCCAAACTGTGAAGGCCAGGATATGAAACTTCAGGAATGCCTTGAGAAGAATATCATCAATCACTGTAGCAGATGTGCTGATGCCTTTCGACCATGAGTAAAGATATAATAAAACCTAAACATCCTTTAGAAAAGAAATGGATTTTGGTTCCAGTGAATCTGCTAACAGCAAGCAAGCCATTTAGAATGCTGGCATTTATGATCTTAGTGTGCTCAGCATACCAAGCATTAAGGGCATTAAGCATTTCATATCATCAGCATAAGTTTCCATCTTTACAATGAGGCAGGACTCAATTCTTCTGAGAGTATTTATGCATTTGTGCCTATGCTGTTTTCTTTTTCTTCTTCTTTTTTTTTTTGAATAGAGTCTTACTATGTCACCCTCAGTAGAGTGCTGTGGCATCACAGCTCACAGCAACCTCAAACTATTGGGCTTTAGAGGTTCTTTTGCCTCAGCCTCCCAAGTAGCTGGGACTATAAGCACCCACCACAAGGCCAGGCTATTTTTTTGTTGCAGTTGTCATTGCTGTTTAGCTGGTCCAGGGCCGGTTTCAAACCCACCAGCCTCAGTGTACATGGTTGGTGCTGTAACTACTGTGCTACAGGTACTAAGCCTCTACTGTTTTATTTTATTTATTGTTTTAATTTCTAATTTTTTTTAACCCCTGGAACAAAGAGAAATGTATCAGTGACATCTGTCTCACAAAAGGGGGGGAAATCGCTGGAAATAATATATAAGTTTTTACCATGTCTTATTCTGGGCTTACAGATACTACCAATGATAAGAACTAAAATATAAAACTTGGGAGGCAAGTGGGGCAAAGAGACAAGGAGCTAGGAAACTAAGTCCATAATGCAGGCAACCTAAAGCTTTGTTGGAGATGTACACAAATTTTGTCTCTTAGCTTCCTCATAATGAGTGAAACTAGGGAAAAACGATGATCCACGTGGGATGGAAGCAAAGAAGTTCGTATTAGGAAAACAACCACTAGGATTGGTTTTGGAGGCCAGAGTGATATTTGTCTATGGTTTCTCATAAGAAATGTGTGCTGAAATGCAGAGAACCTCCTCAACAAAACGGTTCAAGTAAATCCTACTATTTCCACATCCTCTCTGGTTAGAACTGGGTTACCCTTGAGATGACGGCTGGCCACTGTTCTCATGGTTGGGGGCAGCCCCCTGTTGGAGACTTTTCTGTACATTATCTGTGATAGCCCAGAGAGGAGCAGAGGTGTTTCCCATCACCGTTTGACAAATGTGATCAGTGCATTGGTGCCGTGGGAGGCAGGATGACGGCCCCACCCATGTCCATATACAAATCCCTGGCACTGATATGATCCTTACATGGCAGAAGGAATGTTATGGATGTGATGAAGGTAAGAACCTAGCAGTGGGAAGATGATCCTGGATTTTCCTGGTGGACTCAGTGTGATCACAATGGTCCTATTGGTGCAAGTAGGAGGCAAAAGAGAGATGTGAAGATGCTGCACTGCTGGCTTTGATGATAGAGGAAGGGGTTGTGAGCCAAGGACTGTAGGTGGCTTCTCTTCCAGGAGCTTCCAGAAGGAACTAACCCTGCTAACACCTTGACTTTCACCTAGTGAGACCTATTTTGGACTTCAGACCTCCATAACTATAGCATGATAAGCCTATGGGTTTTTAAGCCACTGAGTTGGTGGTGATTCAGTACAGTAATAGGAAATTGATGCTGCTAATTTCCCTGGGGTACCTCTCTCCCCACACTTTCATTGTGGAGACCCCCATGGAGGCCTGAAGGAAACTCAGATGGTAAATTGCAGAACTAGGATTTGTACTAGAGTCTGGATGAGTCCAAAATCTTTTCTTTCAGTGACCCAGAATGTTGAGAAAAGCCAAATCATTCATTCCTTCTTTTAATACACATGTTCAACCTCTACCCAGTGTTTATAAAAGCTAAAAGATTGCAGCCCATTTCCTAATTTGATGTGGATGAGATTGACAAGGAAGATGAAACTTAATGAGGGGTCAGGCGTGGTGGTGGCTCACACTTGTAATCCCAGCACTTGGGAGGCTGAGGCAGGTGAATTGCCTGAGTTCACAGATTCGAGACCAGCCTGAGCCAGAGAGAGATCTCGTCTCTAAAAATAGCTGCCCCAAGAATAAGGGGAAAAGGGAGAGAGAGGGGAGGGGAGGGAGGAGGATGGGTGGAGAGAGGGTAATTGGTAGGACCACACCTACAGTGCATCTTACAAGGGTACATGTGAAATTTACTAGGTGTAGAATATAAACGTCTTAACACAATAACTAAGAAAATGCTGTGAAGGCTATGTTGACCAGTTTGATGAAAGCATTTCAAATTGTGTGTAAAACGAGCACATTGTACTCCATGATTGCATTAATGTACACAGCTATGATTTAATAAAAAAAAAAAAGAAAAAATTAAAAATAGCTGGGCATTGTGGTGGGTGCCTGTAGTCTCAGCTACTTGGGAGGCTGAAGCAAGAGGATCACTTGAGCCCAAGAATTTGAGGTTGCTGTGAGCTATGACACCATAGCACTCTACCCACGGTGAGGAAATGAGACTGTCTTAAAAAAATGAATAAATAAATCTAATGAGGATAAAGTAATCTTTATCCTATATGTATAAATTAATGGTTTATATAAAGTATGGGGCCCTGATTGGTACCCCAAGACCTCTGACTTTCATCAAAGGCTGGGATGGGGAATTTGCAGATAGCATTGAGAAGCACCAGTCTTAGCTATGATTTTAAGGAAATTTGAAGACAGCCCAGGAAAATAATTCAATCCAGAGCAGGATGTGGGGAATTGCCCAAGGGCCTCCACCGCTGTGTCAGGTCTTCCTGGATGTTATCTTCCTGGGACAATAGCATGACCAGATGGGGCCTGAGATAGTAATGGCCCTAATCAAATCTTTAAAATCTGGTTGAAACTCAGCTCACAATTCCTTAAAGAGAAAGTAACAAGGGAAGCCATAGAGCGGAACTCATGTCAGGAATTTCAGGGGTTCACTGTCAATCCCAGCTCCCCAGCCTTGTCCATGAAGCTCCGATGACTTTGAGCGTTTTGTTTGGGGTATGCTCCCTTTCTGGAGAGCGGGGTTCCTGTTACTAAGAGATTATTTGCATTTGTGTGTGGAATTGAATGCTTTCTGGTTTTCAGCCTCCTTTCACCCTTCAGTTCATATCATCTGGATAGAGATTATTGTGGGCAGTGAGCACCATGTCTGTTTTACAGAAGCTGGTAGTTAGAAATGGTGGAATGATTGGGAAAGACTCATGCCAGCACGCGCCCCAGGCTTCCCAACCCTCTCTCACCCAGCCAG